TTGAAACGGTCGTCTGGGTTGCTGTGTCTCTCGTGCAGAGGGAACTTGCTGGCATTTTCTCTATATATTAAATCAAACCTATATATAAAACAGTAATATACAAAATCTTAATATAAAAAGCATACCTATGGGGGCTTTTCCGGACGGCCATGCGAGCAGACGTGTGAGGCAACAGATGATTCCGGGTGAGCCTAATCCATCCAATATCACAGCCATCGTGCATTATGGGGAACAAAAAAAGAGACTCCACACAAGCCAAAGACCCAAAGAATAACTCTGGCTCACGATATTAGCCATTAAACAAATTCTTCACTGAGAAATTTGAGGGCGATCCGGAGGCCTCCAGATCCAGCATGGCATACCGTGCGGACTCGCCAACGGCATCACAAGATAACTTATGTCTCTCAGAGTCGTCTGCAACTCCAGACACAGAAATAAAAGAAATACTGCTCAACTTACATGGTGGACATAGACAACAGGGGCAGAAGGAATAACATCAGGATCAGAGGGATACCGGAACCCATATCGGGCCCAGAGGATGTATACATCATACTGAGAGAACTATTCAATTCAATACTGGAGCAACCACGGGACACAGGCATCAAAATGGACAGGGCACACAGGGCATTGAGACCCAGAGGCAAAGCGGAGGAATCTCCACATGATATTATATGTTGTATACATGACTTCCCGGTCAAAGAAGCCATAATGAAAAGAGATAGAAACACTCCAGCCATACGTTTTCAAGAATGCCCAGTCAAGATCTATCCTGGATTACAATAGAAGGCAGAAGGGCCCTTGCACCTGTCACGAGCAAGCTCCGGGACAAACAGACCAGATACAGATGGGGATACCCATTCTCTCTCACTGCCACTGCAAATGGAACCACAGCCATGATCTTCACTGCCAAATATGTCCCAGTTTTCACACAAGTACTAGTACTACAAGAAGTTTTGGTCCAGGACTGGTGCAAAGACACGGGCGCTAACCCTACGGTACCACAGTCACCGAGACGCAGATCAATCGCTGGCTCTAAAAAAAGGAAGACCCCACCTGGGAACCTGGCTGATGTCCCGGAGTATCCAAGACCCCATCATCCTGACTGTACATAATTGACAAACCTCGGATCACCACAGGTCCCAGACAGCAGCAAACGCTGTAGTTCACTCCAAAGGAGATAATGTGATTTATAACTAACCTTATAGTTGATCTCAAGTTTTTATTAAAAAGCCTGCACTGTCAGACATTATGCCTAAGATCCCCACTGTAAATGGAAATATGGTTATGTTCACACTGTCTTATAGAATTAATACCCATTGAAGTAAGGGCACAAGCGAAACCCATTGGTTTGGAACCACCACATAATCCCTGATAATCCCCACAAACTGTGGGCTCCCCCACCCTCTCACCACTCTTACACAGTAAAAGAAGGCAAATTCATTGTATGGCGTTAAAATCTGTACGTCACCACCCCACACATGACACAAATGGCCAAAATTACTTTTAAATCTTTAACTAATGGATACTCACCTGGGTGGCTCACCCCACACAGCTCACAAGACACCTGTAGAGCATCCCCGAATCAACTCCATTTTTATCAATCACAGATTCCTGCACCTCATTAAAAAAAGCCCACATAGGACCAATCACATGGACCGATTATGCACCAGTACATGTAAACATGGAATTCCCAACAATACCTAGTCACTCCTGGAATTGGAAACTTAATGACTCTGTCCTAGATAATCAACAACTTAAGACACAAATACACCTCTCTGACACCTCTCCCCTGAACACGTGGGAAGCACACAAATGTGTCCTACGAGGCACCTTTATCCACATCGGAGCTAGACAAACGAAAGAACAAACCAAAACCATAACAAACCTTTTAGCGAAGATACAGACCCTAGAAAACACACACAAATTAAGACTCCAACACTCTCACACAACTAACGTTGCTTAGGGAAGAACTCTCACAACTCCTAAACCATAAAGCAAAGAGAGCCCTACTACTCACACAACACTCCTTCTATACACATGGCAACAGGAATGAAAAGCTCCTTGCCAGAGCCTTGCAACAAAGACTCCACAAATCCTATATATCCAAAATCAAAGCTAGTTCGGGGACAATGCACCATCTAACAGCAGACATTGCGAGATCATTCCAAGACTATTATGCCTTACTACATGGCATAAAGCCAACAGGGGTATATGGGACTGAAAGGAAAAATACCTAAAAGAAAACATACATCACTGACTGTCCCAAACAATATGTGACACCCTCGACCCTCCCTTTACGGACAAAGAACTACATAATGCAATAAAGACTGCCCCAAACGGTAAAAGCCCTGGCCCTGACAGGTACTCCAATAAATTCTCTAAATCATTTTATCCACAACTAGGGTCCCACATGTTTAGGGCTTTTAACTCCATATCACCCACCTTGACGTTTAGCTCCTCAGCACTAGAGGCTACAATAACGCTAATTCCCAAGCCAGACAAAGACCACACTCAGTGTGGAAGCTATAGACCAATATCGTTGATAAACACCGACATTAAGGTATTCTCCCACATGCTGGCTAACAGGCTGAAGCCCCTATTGTCCAATATGTGCGGCAACCACACATTCCGCAAACCTCTGCCCGGTTAGACTGGACTCTACCCCAACCACTGTCATTCCAAGCACCTTGAGGGCAGAAAAGCAAGGCAGGGATAAACTTGGTCATCCAATTGTGTATCTAGGCAAGTCCCAAATTTGTAACAACTTTAATGTTGGTGCTTGTGCTTATAGTGCATGTCGTCTATTGCATGTATGCTCGCATTGTTTCAGGGCACACGCGAAAGCCATGAGCCCTTATAAAATGCATATGAAACCGTACCTGACATCAGTAAATATTGACGTTCTGTCCATCCACCCATCTAAACATCTGGTTGAGTATTTTGGTTTAGGTTTCTCCCAAGGTTTCCATATAGGTCTTATCTACATGCCGGGAGTGACTTGGGAGTCTAACAATCTTCAGTCTGCCTTGACCGACACAAACGCAGTAGATATACATTGCTGCTGATTGAGCAAGAGCAAGGGTTTGTACTAGGACCATTCACTGAAGCCCGTTTCTCTAGCTGGAAAACCAACCCCATTGGTTTGGTCACGGGGAAAAACACAAATAAGCAGAGACTAATCATAGACCTCTCTGCGATGAAAACTGCAATATTTACAGTTGCAGGGTTAAGGGTAGTGGGAGTTGGCACCCAGACCACTCCAATGGGCAGAAGTGGTCTGAGTGCCTGGAGTGTCCCTTTAAGAGATATTAATTGATACCTTTACTATGTGATCAATAGTTAGCAGGTATCAGAAGGATTTGTAAGCTACCTAGTTTTTGGACTTGAGCTAATTGCTCTATATCATTTAGCTCCATTTCTAAAGCATTTTTTGCTATCACTTCTGTTCAGTAGCTTCTGAATATTTTTTCATCAGCATTGGCCGTTATTTAACTTGATCTTATTGTTAACATACTTGCCAGTCTATCTGTGAATTTCTTATCAGTCCTGCTAAAACGGATATTGAGTTTTAGCAGCTTTAGCACTGATAAGATTCCTGTTTTCGAATCCAGATATATGTTATACTAGGCAGACTAGACACATTTTTCTAATGTAGTTAGAGGTTTGGCACAATTACAGATGATACCCTTCTCAAATCTGATAAAAAAAGAACACTTACAATCTGGTGATGGGAGCAATTGTTTGTTATCAGTTTTTAGCACCACAGGGTGCTTCTTAATAGGTTATTGATTGTCAGTACCTACTATATGTTCACTGTTTATACACTAGCACACTTTCTATTTATATATATACCGTATTTATCGGCGTATAACACGCACCTCATTTTAAGAAGGAAATTTCAGGGGAAAAAAACTTAAATTTCAAATAAAGAACTTCTTACCCCCTCCTTACTCCACCCTCCGGTTTCTACCTTTCTTTTTTTTTTTTTTTTTTTTTTTTTTTTTTTTTTTTTTTTTTTGTTTTTTTTTTTTTTTTTTTTTTTTTTTGGTGGGGTTGTGTGGGGTTGGTGGGTGTGTTTGGTGGGTGGGTGTTGCGGAAAGGAGTTTTGTTTCCGGTCCGGGATGACTGAGCATGCACCTTCCTATCACTCCGGCCGGGCACCGCGGACAGCAGAGCAGCTCGGCCACGCTACAGGGGAGGGGAGGTGAGAACCAACTGCAGCCGCCTGACCGCTCTTGATAGAGCGCTCAGGCGGCTGCAGCATTTAAAGGTCCGGCGTACGCATATATATGTTGTTATTAGGATTTGTAATAAAATGTATTTATTTTTTATTTTATCTATCTAGCATTTTGTCTGGCAGCTACCAGTCTGATACTGCTGACATTCAGATAGTCAGCTATGAATTTTCCAATTCTATTTTAGGCTGTCTAGGTACACCATCTTTTTGCCTTTCAAAACAGCCATATATTTGGCTTTCTACGGCTTTCTAAGACCACGAGATGGTCAAAACGATGGTCAAAATTGCCTTCGCACCTCATACCTTAACAAGCAACAAGACCATTACGTTCTGAGCTTACCCAAGACTAAGACTAGTCAGATGGGTCAAACTGTACTTATCCATTACTACCCCACCGACAATTCATGGTGCCCGGTGAAAGTTTTTGACGCATACCTACTTTCAGTACCCACTTACGCCTCACTCCCTCTCCTGTCACTTCACGGGGCGCCATCCTCACCACGTCTAAATTCATGGTATATATACAACTATTGTTGACATGACTCAGCTTGAAAGCCAACAAATATTCTGGGCACTCATTAAGGATAGGAGCAACATCCACTGCCTCAAGCCAAGACATTCCACTACATGTGATCAAAACCTTAGGCCGCTGGAAGTCGTCAGCTTATGCTGTTTATATACCTCAACCAATACAGGAAATAAGAAGGGCATTTGTTAAGATGTCCTCATAGATATGTTTGTTTGTTTTTTTGGTTTTTTCTATGATTTATTACATATAAAAAGGGAGAAAGGACAGACATTTTTTTTGTTAGTTTTCTTTGTAGTGCATGCTTTATTATGCAGTTCATTGTACAACATTGTTCTGCATAGCGGATGATGTGGGCGTTATGACATTTAGGAAAGGTCCATAAAATTAAATTCTCAGTTTGTTGTTTTTGCAAAGTTACACCAGGGACTGATTAGAAATACAGGCAGAGTTAAGTAGCAATGCAAGTGAATAAAGGACTGGACTCAGTGCACATCCGTACTGTAATGCACCCATTAGAGTCAACAAGCAGAGTCATGTTCTTCTATGCAATTTGGTATTCATAGTCTTTTTGTAGCTGTAACGAGGATCTTTTTCTTCCCTTTGTTATTAATACAGAGTTCAATACACTCCACAGGGTGGCTCTCTACACTGGGTGCAGTGATGTTACTAATCTGTATACTTATCCCCTGTACCGAAAAGAATAATTCATATAACTATAGAGGCCCTTACTAAAGGAAACAACCGATTCGATTCCAAAATCGTTACATTCTTTTTGACCAAATTGTAGACAGAATTGCATGACAGTCCAGCTTTAACTGTAGTGGAGTTAGAGACCCGTTTCCATTTTAGCCTATGCTTTGCAGTTTGGCTTACAATCAACTATTAGTGAATAAAGCCTTAAGCGTTACTCTGTGCATGCCATGGTAGAAGCCTAATGAATATGGGTTGTTTTGTAGAAGCCCATCTGAATTGGGTACAACCACCTCTAAAGTAAAATGGTTTACAAAAAATGGCTCTTCACTTAAAGCGGCAGCAGCAAAATCTTGCTAAACACATTTTGTATCAGACAGGCAGAAATTGTGGTTTTATGCATATCTTCTCCTTTACCAATCAATAGTATAGATAAACTAGTGAGTTATGATTATTACCCCTCTGTAAATAACTATTTTTAAGCTGTGGGTTATTGCACTAAGCACCATCATTTTAGGTCCATAGATTGTGATGTAAGCCTAGAACAATCTACATGCCTAATCCCCGCTTCATGCTTGTCTGTATTTTTTTCCCCCTAGCTTAGAACACATGACCCAAGTTAAAGAAGCAAACATATGTAATATGCTAATATTGGAGCATTGCATAGCAAACTATGTCTATTATTCTGTTATCCTAGCAAACACGGAAGCAGATTACCTCTTTTATTGATAAATGCATTGTAAACCTCCCTGAGTCTTCAAGTGAACATTGCTCTCCGGTTACCATGCTACTTTTTGTCATATTAGGGAAAATAAAGGAGGATTCTGGTAACGCCCTAGGACAGTTATTTGCTTACAAAGCAAGTCATTTCTTTACTATTTATAAACACATTTAAAGATATTTATATTAGAGACATCAATAATAAGGAAAGGAACCCACTCAAATATGTAGAATTTTGCAAGTATAGGAATTGGAGACATTTATTGTGTGTTAAGACAATTTTAGATCATCCGCTAATGGCATGCAACTGCAAGCTGCAATACTGACCCTGAAACAATGTCACACTTGGTACCTAGAGACCATGGAGTAGATAGCTGCATGAGTTTAATCATTAAATGTTTTTTGTTAGAAACAAAGTTAAGAGATTTGTAACCTAAACTATGCTTGTTAGGCTGATAATCTATACACACGAAAAAACACAAAACGAACACAATGGGCAAAGTACTATCAAAAAAGTCAGACGCTATTTAGATCCAGTTTGAAGTAATTCCTAACAATTTCAGTGCTAACAAAGGGATGAGATTTGCATCAGTCAAAAAAAGGTGGGGCAAAATCCAAAAATGTAAAGTTTCACATATTGGTGTTGGTAGATTTAAAAAAAGACACTGGACAGGTTTTGCATTTTCTCGAACCTTGTGACCAATATTGCCTCAAAGTACTTTTTAGTGAGCAGCCTGGCACTGACTCAGTCACAGAAATCTTTGCAACAACCAAACAATACAGTATGCACATATATGAAATCTACTTAATGCAGAAAGGTATGCTGAACTAAGATTCTTTTTTTTAAAAAAAAAACAGCAGCACTGGGTAAGTTATAAATGAGTACTTATGGGGAACATGGTCTGTTACTGCTAAGAGGCATGAGAAGAAATGACACCACCTCAGAACAACAAGGGTTAACAGCGATGGAAATGTTCCTGTGCAGTTAAAAGGTAGTTAAAAGGTGCATATGATAATGTTGTAAGTGATTAGTAGAGATAACCAAATCATGTGCCACATCCGTTGACGTTTATCCACTTTCTGGAGAGAACTCGGGGAACTCTTTGTATATTTCTTGAGCGATCATTTTATCCATCTGACAGTGCGGCTCTTCCTCTACTTCAGCTAAAATGCGCTGCAGGATTCCGTGAAGGTCCTGATGGCGGTGCAGATGTTGGAGGTAGTCGGTTGAACGAATGATGGAGTGCATCAGTGAGAGATACTCCATCCGTAGCTTATCTCCAGGTGAAAGGTCGGCAATCTGACGCACAATTATATCGATCAGAACCATCATATCCGAATAGTAAAATAGATTTGCGGTGTCTTTGCTGGAGAACACATCCTGGAGGATCTTCAGGACAGAATGTGGGGGCTGAGGCTGGTGCTTGAAGATGCAAACTGGATCATCACCTCTATTTAACAGCAACAGCAGCTTCTCTGTAGAAATCTTGACATTGGAGACCTTGCATAAGGCTTTCATGATTAAGTTGTTTGCTGGGACTGGTATATGAAGGTTAAAAGCCAGAAGCACATTGATAAACAGGTCTGGCAGCTGCTCCGTAACATCAGATGGCAAACCGTTCTCAATAACGTCCAACAGGAACTGGACAAACTGGGAGTTCAGATGTTCATAATGGTGGTATGGAAGAGGCTCTCCCATAGAGAAAATCATCGATAAGACTAAAGCAGAGTAACACATCTTCTGGTGCTCCTGTATGTTTGTTTGGAGGTCTCGAGCCAGTTCCATGGGAAGGACTGAGTTGACAAGAGCAGAAATTATGTCAGCATCCAGGTTACACATGGCTCCAAAACACTTTAGCAGCAAAAGCCGTAACGGGACTCTGTGTTCCATTTGATAATAGGCCACGAGGGACAAAATGGACTCAAACTGGTTCTTCTTGCACACTTCTGGGTCTGCATCTGTCAGAATTAGCAGCAGCTCCTCCAAATAGCAAAGGATGATGTTTTCATCTTCATAAAGAGCCCAGCTACGCTGCTGGGCGTCATCTTTGTGACGAGCCAGGTCAGCAAATATGACCTCCAGGCGCTGTTCATCATGACATATCTGTCCTGAAGGTAATCCACAACTTGAATCCTTATTTTCCACTAGAGAGATAAGGATCTGCTCCATGACAGAAGCTGTAGATGGGATAGAGGACTGAATGTGGCCGACCACCACGCCTATAGCCACCCGAGACAGTTCATAGCTGAGGTTGGTGTTTTTGCGAACTAGTTCGATGAGCTCAGCACTTATTGTTTTTGGAACAGTTACGGCACCAGCAGGGGTTTCCTGTGCTGCAGATTTCACATACAGTTTGCCTTTACTCTCCTGGTTAACGGTATTGAAAGCTTCCACACTAGGAGGCGGAGTTGGAGCCATCTTCTTTACTTGTGAGAGTTTGTTACTTTGACTGCCAATTTCTAGTTTATTGGGTGGTCCTGGTGTGGCCATCTTGTTTTGTGAGTTTATAATTCCAAGGGATAATGCTGTTGGGCCCAAACTTTGGGAAACTGTAGTGTGAGCACTTCTGCTTGGCACAGGTGGAGGGGTATTACTTGGGCTTGAGGCTGCTGTAGGATGGCAAGAGTCCACAGAAGAGTTGCCTAATTTATCGATCGAGGAGATGCTTACAGTAGACGTGTTAGATATGGATCTTGAACCATCGTCAACACAATTTTTCGTAGACAGGGTTCTTTGCTCATTTTTCCGTTTCTCAGGTGGTGGGGGAGTGACCGGGGCCGCTCGTCTGGCTTGTGGAGGGACCTGATAAAGATTTTCTCCATCTAATGGAATTTCTGGGTTTGGCAAGCTCATGTTGCGCTCAAAACCAGTACGACATACGCCATTGGGCTGCCGCACAGAATCCAAGTGGTGATCACTGGTAGATGTGGTAATGGAATTCGACTGAGAGGTTGGCGAGTGCAGATTTCGATTCTGTGTTTCTTTGCGATGATGGATAAGTTTCTGAAGAACATCTCTCTGTTCCAAGTTGTACTTCCCCCCATTTTTCATGGCTGCATTATGAATTGCTTCAATAGCACGGTCAATTGATTGAAGAACAACATCTTGTTCCTGGACCTTGATCCTGTCCAGGTAGGAGGCCGGTACGTAGCCCGTGTCCCCGGTACTGCAGCGACTGGCCAGCCACCAATGCTGGTTACATCGCTCCAGGATGATGAAGCTCTCTCCGGCCGCGAACTGCATGGAGTTGGGCTCCGGGGAGCGGAATGCGTACAGCGCTCGGTACATGGTGGACGCGCTCACCGGGCCAGGCTGGGGGAACCGGGCGCGCTCCCGACGCTAGAAGTCAGGCTCCCGGCCGCTGCAGGGATATCACGTGATAGATATGTTTGTTTTATGTCATGTGCTTTCGTAATAAATATCTTTTGAGCAAGATTGGTATTCCTTTTGCCCACTTATTTATAGGCCTACCACATACGTCGGTCAGTGGTGTATCCTGGTTTTGTGCTGCCCTAGGCTCCCGGCATCACTTTGCAGCACGCAAGGCCAGTGCCGCCCGCCCGCCTGGATTGTCAGTTAGCCTCCAGGCTAACAAGACATTTGCCTGGGCATTTGGGGGTGGTTTTTTTTGCCGCCCCCTGGAAAGTGCTGCCCAAGGCAAATGCCTTGTTTGCCTCGCGGCTAATGCGTCCCTGATGTCGGTATCGGCATACCTCAACCGACTTTGCTTATTAAAGGTAGATGACTTTAGAAATATCTTTTTGGGGAAGGATAAACGTAGTTAATTCATATGTCATTCCAAAATGGAACTATATGTTCCAAATGTTGCCATTATACATTTCTAACCATTGGTTGGAATTGATACAGAAAAGCTTCACCCAATATATTTGGAAAGGTAAAAAACCAAGATTGAGTCAGTCAATATTAACACAAAAATTAAGTAGAGGAGGATTGGCTTACCCTTTAATATCAAATAACTACAGGGCAGCTGTAATTTTACATATATACAGGATGCAAGTAGAAGAAAATAAAAACGAAGGTTGGTACAAAACAGAACTTATTGCAGGAGTTCCTAGTCTGGACTGCTTAATTTGGAATATTACTAAATCCTCTCAAAAAAAAGACTTTTCCAACATAATTTTAACACATTTAATGAATAGCTGGCTTAAAATAAAAAAAACTCTAAAAATAGAAAATAAAATCCCAACCTATTTAAAATTGGATTTCGTAGAACAAGTTGCAGATATAAACCTAAAAAATTGGAATCAAGTAGTAATTTTGCGACTGTCCCAACTACTTGTAGAAGATAAAATTAAAACTTTTGCTCAATTAACACAGGAAAACAATTTACCATCAAAAGAGTTGTTTAATTTTTTAAGACTTAAAAGTTTTTTGATGTCACACTTAATAGCATCAAAAACTAGTTTGAATAATGCGTTAAATATACTTTTCAATACAGACAAGATAAATAAACCACTCTCAAAAGCTCTAGTATTAAGTAAAATGTGTAATAAAGAAAAAACTCCAATAGCTATAACTGCCTGGAAAGAAGAATTAAACATGGATATAAATATTAGGCATTGGGGTTCTTCACTGATAGGAGTTTCGAAGAATATACACTCGCTAAATTTATTAGAAACTAATTTTAAAGTCCTAAATAGATGGTACTTAGTACCAGATAAATTGAACAAAATGTACCCTTCAACAAACCATCTATGTTGGAGATGTGGTATAGACACAGGTACCTTTAAGCATATTTGGTGGGAGTGTAGTAAATTGAATAATTTGTGGTCTAATATTCAAAAGTTTGTGTCTGTAGATCTGAACCTTGAGCTGAGGCTCTCTCCAGAGATCGTTTTGCTCCATCTAAATTGGCCGTTAATGACATACGATTCGAAAATTATTCTTATTCACCTTTTTTTAGCAGCAAAAATTGTGATTGCGAGAGGATGGAAAAATGACAGGGAAGTTCCTTGGGATCAAGTTAGAGCCCAGCTTAAGTTTCAAATAAAAATGGAACTGTTGTTGAGCAAACAAAAATTAAGCAGGAAAACAACAATTTGGATGAAATGCTGGGAGAGGATTGATAAATAGAGTTTTTTTGTTTTTTTTTCTCTACATGAGGCTTGTTAAAATTTAACCCCTACATAAATTTAAAGAGAAACCGGGCCTGACTGTCAACACTTTGGACAATATAATATAAGATATAAGATACAAGATATACATTCTTACTCGATATGTTTCCTCCCTTCTCTTTTGCTGCATTGTCTTGTCTATGTAGATATGTAAGTCTAAGTATTGTTCGTTTTTGGTTAATCGAAACGTATAAAGAAAATTCTTATGGATGTATGTTTCAAATAGGAAAAATGTTTCTTTACCATTTGTATGTAACTGTTGTATTGTATTGTTTTTTTATGAAAAAAAAAAAAAAGGGAAAACCTTTTTAATAAAGACTATTAAAAAAAAAAAAAAAGGTAGATGACTTCATCTTTATTTCATTTCATTACTGAAATGGCCCTGAACCCAAATCGGAAGGCTTGGCCTGAAGTTGTGCGAGGGGCTTTGTACCTTTAAAAGGGACTCCTTCCCTACATTACCATGATTGGTTCCAGATGTACTGCTGGCCCACCCTTCACTCCCTCTATTCAACTCTATCTAAGGTAGGCCCACTTATTTACAAGCCTACCACATACGTCAGTATCGGCACACCTCAACCGACTTTGCTTATTAAAGGTAGATGACTTCATCTCTTTTTCATTTCATTACTGAAATGGCCCCGAACACAAATAGAGGGATACCCAGTATTAAAAACCGCCCCATTAGAAGTAGCTTTAAACAAGAGAAAAACAATATAAAAACTTTTTTAAATAGCGAAAAAGGGTTCTTTCAATGCGGATATTGTTTAGCTTGTAGGACAACAGGTGCACCTAAATGTGTTAAAAAACACAGAGAAAATATATAAGATTAAACAACTGATAACTTGTCATACAAATAACTGCATATACTGTATGTCCTAACCTGCCCGTGCAATATGCAGTACGTATGGAAAATCACCAGACAGATACATATTCGCATTACGGAACACATCTGGAACATCAAAAGATGGTTTAAAGAACATCCATTATCGTCACATTTCATACATAAACATCAAGGAGACCCCACTAAACTACAGTTTCTTGGGATTGAAATGGTTTATAGGAACTGGAGAGGAGAGGATCTGGATAACAAGCTAGCCAAACAAGAAATTAAGTGAGTCTTTAAATTAAAGTCGCTATCCCCCAGGGGACTTCGAGATATGTCACTTTCTTTGACATTGGTGTAAACATCATTACCTCTAATCTGGTTGTCTTTTACACACATTATTATTATTTTTTATTATGTTTAATATAATTTTATTTTTTCTCCTAAAATGGTGAAAGATGTGTATTTATGCCGCTTTTTTTTACTAAAGATCTCTATTCCCAGAGTTATAGATGGAGATCTATTGTTCCATATACCCCTATGGGATATAGTGGATCTCCAGACTTACTGGGTTTAAACCATTACAATATTGCTGTATCTGTATATAGATATACTTTTGTATATGAGTTCAATATGACTATTTTTTTTGTAATTTGCATTAGCAGTTTGCCTGCAATTAATGGTGAAAGGTGCAATATGTGCATTTACTGCATAAAGTTTTTCATATCTTTGCCCTTAGAGATATGGATAGAGATTTACTGCTCTCTATGTCTTTATGGAATGTATCCACTGATATATATAGGGCTTGATTATCAAAGTATTGCTGTATCTGTATATAGGTATGCTTTTTTATTTTTTTGTTTATTTTCATTTTTATTGATTTTCATCACCAAAAAATGCAAGAATACAGAAGCACAGTATAATGTAGTACAGAGAGCAATACAAGGCGTCACAGGTTTATCAGATCACATATATAATCAATGGTATTTATACATAATAAGATTCAGGTGGTTTAATAGGCATGCAGTGTTTACGTCCCCATATTGTCTCGCAGGTGTGAAATTAACACGTTTCTGTTGATTATACATAAGTATTGATAAATAAAGGTAATATAAGAGTTGTGAACATAGGTAACATAAATAACATAAAAGTTAAGGACCTAGAGATTTTTTGTGGGTCGGTGCTTTTGCAATATATTATTGTGTGTTTGTTTTCTAGTACATCGTGGTGTCTGTGGTCATTGTTGGTATGTGTATAAATCACAGGTTCCAGTTTGCCTGGGCCCTGCGAGTCTGCTCTAGAGAGTCATGTTCTTGTTGGCATTTGCTCGCTTAATTAGCTGTCTAGTATTTGCAATTGAATGTCATTTGGTGACGGCTGAGGTCTACTAGTGATACATGGGCGCGAATTATCACCTTTTCCCATATGTTCAATCCACCCAGCCCATATCGATGGGTAGTGCATGGTGTGACCGGACAACGAGTATTTAATTTCTTCCATATGTCTGATACTCTCTACTCTAGAATACCATTCTGCCAGTGGGGGGGCAGTTTGTTACCTCCAATATTTGAGGAATCAAGGCCTTAGCAGCTGATAGTAGGTAGTACTCTACAGATTTACGGTATTGTTTGATAGGCATAGGGGTCAGGTGAAGAAAAATTTCAGCAAAGAGCTGAGGCCTCAGGATATTGGCCACTTGCATTATTATTGAGAGGATTTGAGTCCAATACCCCTGTAGGAGTACGCATTCCCACCATATGTGAGTGTATGTGCCCGTTGCTGCGCAACACCTCCAGCACTTGTCTGGGACTATCGGGTACGTTTTGTGTAATCTTTGTGGTGTTCTGTACCACCTTGTGAGTAGTTTGTAATTGGTCTCTACCATTGATATGCTCATGTCGCTTCTGTGGGTGAGTAAAAGTATTTTGTCCCGGTCCGATGTCGTGAAGGTGGTGTTCAATTCAGCAGCCCAGCTAGTCTTGTATTTAGGTAAGGTTTGTCCTGCAGCCTCTAGTATGAGCGAATACAGCAATAATAATGCTTTGTGTAGGGAGCGGCATTGAGTACACCATGTTTCGAATTTAGTGAGCTGAGGGGTTTTATCTATTGGCTTTAGTGACATTATTAATTGAGTTAACTGGTGATACAGGAACCTGTCCATGAATGTGGGGTTGGTGTTACTGCATAGCATGGACATAGGTTTAATTTCCCCGTCCTGAACCACTTCCATGAGGGATACATGTTGTAGGTGTGTAGGTTTCCGCCATTGGAATCCCATTTTCCCAGCCGGGAAAGCAAGATTGTGAGTTATTGGGAATAGAGGGGACAATTGCTTAGTAAGGGCGAAAGATTTTGCATATTTTTCCATAAAAGAAGCAGTGGGCTTATTGCGTATAGACGCGAAAAATGAAGGAGGGTCCCC